AAAAGCAATAGGTTAGGAGGACCCCCCACCCTGTAATAGTGGTATAATAGGACTATAAGAGGACGCTAATATAATTACCATTATCTCTTATAGTCACTATTACTGGGTGGGGGGTCCACCTAAGCAATAGGGTTCAGGGTTCAGGGTTAAACCCCAAACCCTTAACCCTAAACCCTAAACCCTTAACCCGTAACCCTAAACAATAGGGTTCAGGGTTTAGGGTGTGACTGCCGTCTGGCCTGCCTTGCATGTGCCGGATGAGTCGGGGTCTGCCTGGGTCTGCTTCTTGACTCAGTACATGGCTCCTAAAAGATCATATGAAATACCAACTCAGGGGTACCTTTAAAGGGGATTATAGGGGTTGTACAGGGACATATAGGATTATCTAGGGATTTCATGGGATTGATGGATTTCCCAAATTAGGGGTACCTTGTTTGGAGGTCCTCATAACAAGGACTATAATATTTGGGGATCTATATTGGGTTCCCTTACTTTGGGAAACCACCAACTCCCTCAAATAGGGGTATATGGTCCCTTATAGTGGGTATTCAGGGTATGATAGAGGGTAGAAGGAGGGTCTAGGTACATGGTTCCTAAATCCCAAAGGCCTAAAGCCTAAACCCTAGGCCCTAGAACCTTGTTTTTTTAAGCCAGAAAAGCATCGCTTGGCATCATGATGGCACATGGAAGGCCCTTTAACATTAGGGGTTGTATTATAAGAATGGAAACCCAGAAAGGAACCATGATTTTGATCACCCCGCATATAGCGAGGGCTTTGCGCAGATTTCCCAATCTGCCAAACACTGACCCATTCTCTTAAACCTCTAAGGGAACCAAAGGTATGGCCTAAAAGCCTTGAAAAAAGTGCAAGTTGCCCCATCTCAGCAACTTGTACAGCAGAAAGACTTGCAAGACCAGAAGGACAAGAGAAACGCCTTTGCGCCAGTCCATCATGCTGCCAAGGCAAGCCAGGCAAGCCGCCGAAATCACTGAGATCTAATCTAACCCCCTTAAGGCGGGTCATATCGGGGATTATCTAGGCAGCATTGTAGGGGTTGCTAAGAGGGATCCTAGGAGTTTAGACAACGGGTTTAATATGGGTTATTCTGAAAAATTATGGGACCCTTCTGGTTATGACTTGTACCCAATATGTAGGGGTACCAAGATGGGACCCTAATTTTGGAAACTATTTAAATATAAATGATGGAAAAGAAAATGGAAAGAGCCTTCATGCAAAATCAGATAGAAACGAGCACGGAATAGTAATATGGATACTGGAACTACATAGGGGATGATAGGATATTTGCCCATCGACTCTTTGGTTTCTCAAATCTGTTGTTATAACGAGCTGTCATGAGCCCGGAGATTTGCGAAGCCAATGGCTAGCAGTTTCCGAAAATAAGGGACCCCAACATATATTTCAACATATTGTATTCCTTAGTATGGGGAACCCCCAGAAAAAAAAAAACCTAATTTTGGGAAACCCTTGGCTGGAGCCAACACAAGCTGGTCAGGCAAAGGAGCGTTTGCGACCTCTGCTTTCTTGGGCATATTAAAATAAAATGATAATCATTCTTGTTAATATCCGTGTTTGCTTTTGTGACTGTTGTTCCCATGATTATTACTATTTAAAGCTGTTTTGCAGCATGCTGAATCTAGGTACATCATCTTTGCTCACAGCAATCGATGTGCCTAGTGAACTATATAGCCTTCATGAAATAGCAGAGTCCCAGAGGACTCTGGCAGCCCAGCATTCATGATTTGTGGCCCGACGTGACATGCCAACAACTCATAGCCGCACAGCCTCAACCAACGGCACGTTGTCAACGACAGCCGAGGAAAGTCCTGACCAGTCCATCATAGTCTATAGCCTACATGCCTGGCTTCCAGATACAAGTAGCCCCTCAGCGGTCCTAGGAGAATAGACAACCGCACAGCGCTATGCTTGCAGAGCTCGTTGATCATCTCAGCGTACCTGCCAGCGCATGTGCACAGGCCTGAACCAACCACCTAGATCCGGTGCCAAACGACTCTTAACCTTCACGAAGTTGGTAAGCAAAGATCTTGGCTTAGCAGATCATGGGTGAGGATGTCATGCCAAACCAACACGAATGGCTGCAGGAAAGTATTCCGTGAAAAACGCGCCTGCCAACAACCAACGCTTGCAGATGTACAGCATGCAACCAGGCACCAACTTGTTAGGCTCATAGCTGCGGAGACTTTGTCCTTTCGGAAATTTCGGAAGGCTTGTTTTGAAGGATCTGATGAACAGCGTCGCTCACTGCCAGCAGTCGATAGCCTCACAACTGAGCAGGATGAACTTTCAAAAGAGACTGCATCCCGCTACGGGACAGAGGACAGGCCCGAACGCAAGTGTTTGTCGATGGGGGCTCGACCCTCAGAAGCAATATTCGACTGACACTGCCTGGCATGTGTCAGAAGCCTGTAATGCCCCAAGACGCATCGATCCGCTCAACAAGCAACAAGGACAGTAACTGTAAACCCCTCTCCTTAGATGCTCCATGCAACATCTGAGTCACAAATCTGCAGACATCCGCTCTGAGCAACTCTCAGGCGCTGGAAAGACTCGACAGTATTCTACGGCCCCACATGGTTCAGGTCCCGTCAAGCTGCCCTCTGCCTCCTTTTTACAGAAATACGAAATGCTGGAACATCATTGCCCAAGCCTTCTTCATTTCAAAGTCTGCGTATCTTCCCGCAGCATCTCAAGCCTGCATCTCTATTTGCGAACGTTTGATGCTCATGTCATGTCACACTTCTCCACCGCTTGCGATGCCCACCCTATCTTCTATGGTCACGAGATGTCACGAGCCATCCGATCCCTTATCTGCATGCCTCTGCCGGTGGCGGCGGAGGCGCCTCGCAGGATACCGTCGCTTTTCTTTCTCACGCGATTCGTTATCGTTTTCTGTGTCCTCAAGCCACCTGATATTTGAGCATCAAAGATGCCAGACACTAGAAAAGACTAGAACCACAAACGACACTTTTCTATGACTCCCGCCTGCTCGCTTGCGCCGGGCTCATGCAGCACCTCGGTGTTCAATCGTCCAGTCGCGGTGCAATGTGCTGGATCCATGATGCCTCTGCTACATGCAGATTAAATGGGTCTTGGGCTCCCGCCTGGCGCTTGCTGGGAGGTTCCTGGCAGAGTCGGCATTGAGCATCTACCATTCATTGCTAGTGGGGCTGCGAAAACCTCACATTATTCCTTGAAGTTTGTTTCCTTCATTCCGCATCAGCTTGTTTGTGCTTGCTCACAGCTGCAAATCGTCCAGCATCAGAACTCGATTAGATTCAGGAGTTCTCCAGGCGAGTATTGCGCTGGTTCCTGCTTTGTTGCATTGGATGAACCAACCGCCTTCTGCAGGCCTCTTAGCATTGAGACCTTTTCAGCGGCCTTTGCAATCTATGGGGTTGTCATTTGCATTTGGAGGTCTCAGTCACACCCATTCCATTGAATCTTGTAAGCAAAGACGATCTGCTCGGTTTGATTTAGTCCAATCCAACCGGCTGTTGCTCGAGCTACAATACTCCATCTTGTAGAAATCCAACTCTTCTTAGTTCCAGCAGGCAAATGAGCCCAACAGTTTGCAAGGATGCCTCACCAGCACCTTCCGCAGCACGCTTCATCTCATGGCCTGGCTGTAGGAGTTGAAGGGCACATGCTCCGCACTCGAAACCATCAGAAGATGTGAGTTACCTTGTAGCCAAGCGAGACCCAAGCGAGAGCTATGCCAATGACCGACTTCACTGCAACCGGTGGCAGGCACGCCAAGGATTTAAATTTCCCAGGCACCCTGCTAGGATCTTGGTTATACAGAGTGTCACATTTTTGAGTTGCCTCTCAAGTTCTCATGCAACCACAGCTTCCACATCCATGGAGCTTCCAACCTGGCGGCGGAGTAGCGCTGAACCTGAAAAACAGCGAAGGATGCAATGCCAGGAACCGCGGTGAAGGCTTGTCTGCAACTGTAATTGGAGGACATGCGTGTTTTTGACCTTGGCCCTTAGTACTCTGTAGGCCATCGGATCATTGACAGATGCTGTGCTGGCAGCGTCCCACATGCTGGTGCCCACCTGGAGTTTGCGCCAAAGGTTGGCTCAGGTGGCGCGCCTGGGAGGATTGCCATGTTCACAGAACAGTGAAGCATCAAGGAAGCATGTGTGAAGCATGAAGCATGGTCAGCATGGTGCATCTCCAAGTTCCACGAGCAATTTGTTGCCCTGCCAACATGCACGGCCATCAACTCGCACGGCGCGGAGTAAGACATATGCCGGCTTGCTGCTGGGTTTCTTGGCCCCATTGGCGGCAATCTACTTGGGTGACCTCATTGTCTGAACTCTGACCCAACTCACACGCGGCACTCACACTTCGCTCGCGCAAACACAGCATTCAAGCTGCTCCTGTACAGCTCGGCATGGAACTCGGGCAAGCTAAGCTGGGATTGCTCCGCCGTCGGTGTCATTGCCCCTGGGTCCACGCTGCGGCACCGAAATGCCATGTGCTCCACAAGCGAACTCGAATCCACTGTGTCACTGTGACTCACTCGCACACCTCGATTCTCTAAACGTCGACTCGCGGCGCAGACTCAACGCGAATCTGTCCCTTTGCCACAGCCACTCGCTTCAAGCAAAAGGCAGACCTGGATGTCTATGGATGCGCCTAGACCAGAAACTCTCCACGCACATAAAGCACAACTCCACTCACAGAACAAGCGTCTAGAAAAATGCTTTATGACAAGCAGATTGGAAAGAGTCCAAAACCCTCTTAGGCACACAATGCCTTTGCTGCGACAAATGCACGCGCCTGACTGAAAACCGGATGCAGTCGACGCGGTTGGTGCCTGGCTACAATACCACTGGTCAAAAAATCCGCACATAGCAAGGTCGATGTCCATCCAGCAAGAGCACCTCAACCTGACATCCCTGAATCTGCCTGGCTACAGCTGTAGCACGAAGCAGGGACAAGGCATCGTGCCATACTAGCAGGATGCTGAGGCACGCATGACATGCCAATGTGTGCGTTGATCCTCAACAGGTTCAGTAGGTACCTTGGATTGACCCCGTACCCTTACATAAGCGTTCCGACAGCCAAAAGAACGCCTCATAGCTGAAGCGTGTCCGTGTCTGCGATGTGGTCGCCGAGCTTGCAAACCTTGCCATGAACATGAACTAAGTAGGCCAATGATCAAGCTAAAAGCCAGCTACGGTAGTACCATGCTGTATGCCCATGACCAATTGCTACGTAGACAAAAACCAGCCGTCAACTCACGATTGGCACATAGGGTATGGCTTCTTTCTACCTGGAAGCTTCTCCTGGTACAAGCATATGCTCCAAGGTGCTTGGAAGGATCGTGATCATCTGGCGCACCCGCAGGCAAGCGGCCTAGAATCCATGATACTTGTTCAGTGATAGCGAATGCTTAGGATTCTGGCCGGTTTAGGTTGCAGAGTTGGCTGCCGTCTGTGGCCCTTTCGTGCAGACGCTGGATAAAGTACTTAGAGGCAAGTGCTTCATTGCTGTCATTCTAGCCACTTCAGCCATATTCAGCTTTCCGGTTGACAACCCAAGTCAAAGTACCCCTGAGGCTCCATGTGCCGTGACTGCGATAATAAGCTGCCTAGCATTGCTGCGGGCAAGTGGACATGCTGGAATTGAATATGCTGAAATGTTGAACGACCGCAATAGAAACTACGGGGTCTTGCAGTAGTAGCTAGCTACAGCACATCCAAAAAAAGTCAGATGTAGGATGCCACTTGTCGATCTAAACTCTCCTGCTCATGCTGGGTGGTTTGAGGTCTGGGGATGTTAGGGGCCAAAACTTGTGTGCTTCTACATGGACACTTTTATGTAAATCTATACTTCTGTTGGCTTCTTCTTCCAAGTTGATCCATGTCAAGCGGGCTGAGAACGGAAGGCAACTGTCACTCCAATCCTCATTTGAATACTTGCGAAGGTTCAAGCTTGAATGCCTAGTATTTTGCTGTAGCCCCGATGCCGTGATGTACTAGATGGCTATAAACCCTCATCACCAGGTGGTGTCCCCTGGACTCAACCCTACCACACGTTACCGCTAGTCGAGGTTGCGCCATCCCCCAACAGCCCAACTTCCAAGCCTCGAGCTTGCACCCCTAACGCCGCAGATCCTATATGCTTTAACCCGGATCCCTGAAGATCTCATGGCTGCTAGAATTGTCGACTCTTGCCACGCCTGGGGCCAGCGGAACCGCCGCCTGCACAGTGCCGTCGAAGATCCACGTCGATGGAACGATATAGAACATCAAAGCAGGGAACTGAGTTAGAAATGATGTTGCATGACGAAGACGAGGACAATGAAGACCGCGGGGACGACAACTATGATAATGACAACTTTGAGGTGATGACGAGGCAGTATCAACATTGAGTCCAAAGTCTTCTTCCAGTAGATAAGGTTGGAACACCTCAAATCAGCCCGGCACAGCAAAGCCGTCCCGACAGCCTGAGTAGGAGGTTCATAGCTGAATCGTGAAGTGCCTCAGCAGTCAAGGTGCTTTCCGCTGGACGGAAGAATGCTCACCACCATCAGCATCAAACCAAGGAGGTCTAAACTATCGGGGCGCAGTGTGAGGCCAAAAGTGACCCCGTGAATAACGGAGAATGACATCGACAAGAAAATGGAAAATAACATGGAAACCAGGGCTATGTGAAGCTATGCGGGTGTTTTATAGCTTGGTGTACTCAGCAAGATACCCATACTCGTGCTCAGCATCTCAACTCGGCGAGCTTGAGGCCTTGCCAGACACACCATTCTGAAGATGGCTATCTGTGGGGCCGGGATCCATGTTACAACACGGATCCTACGTGATCCTACGTTTTACGTCCACAGATGGAAGCTACGCCTTAGGTGCCTTGAATCCTGGCATTGTGCATAGTTTGGATGCAAGATCTCACCTACCCCAGCCAGCCGGCTCTGAAGAAGCGGAAACTGGCTAAGGCCTGTTGTCGGGCGTGAGCCGCAAATTGAAGCGGCACATTTGTCCATTCAGGCCTTGCGCAGATATTGCGGACTAGGAGGAGGCCGATTATTTGAGCACTATTTGAGCTAAACAGTGGTTCCTAAGTATCAGAAATTCTGGAAAACTGTCCCGTGGACAGGATAGACAGATGGTTCCTGCGAGAGTCACAAGCGCTAAGGACACCCTGCTGTCGCCTGCTCTTTCCTCGTCTGACAATGCCCGAGACAAGTCCTGCGGCATGTAGCAGTTACCTGTGCAAGCTGGCTGTGTGATCTGGGTGCAGCTCCTTGATGTTGAAGTAAACATCCTGCTGAAATACAGAGTCCGCGCTTGGTTTGATGAAGCCGTACCTGATCTGTCCCGGCGGCTTCAAATAGGACAAGAGCTTTCGATGGTTTGCGCACCCTGCACTGGCATTGAACTGAACAACTTGACCCACCACCAGCTCCTCGGGCTCTGGTATGAGCATCACCTGCCGCGTCCCAAGCAAAGAGGGGCTAGTCACATGAGCTCACAACTCCACTCGCGCCAGCGTGCCTCCTTCGCAAATGACCGCCCACCACCCGTTGCCAGCGTGAACAGCACGGTTGCCCTTGCACCAGAACAGAGTTCAGTTGGCATTGCATGCACTGCCTTCGCGCTTTTAGCTTCACACAGATCGGGATTTTCAACGTCTAGGCCCGCTTGCGTGACTTCAAAGATGAAAGGTGTGCAACAGATTAGTGTTGCTTGCCGTCTGGCACACAATTGTGTGAAATGCTGCACCCGGCAGTGTGGCGAGACAGCCTGGGCAGTTACATGTTACATATTAATGGATAATCCTGAAGATAAATAGATATTATGTGTATGCCTATGAATGAAAACAGGGCCCGCGAAACTTCATGTCGCTCTCCGTAGCCTTAAAAACGGCTGCTGCTCGTTGCTGCTGCTCTCCACTCTGCAACTAAGGATGGATCGAATGGTTTCCAGATGCTGGCTTCCATCTGGCTGCCACAAGCCATCCGCAAGACATATCACACAATTGGATGTGCGATCCCCCTGTACATTGCATGAGGAAAACTACCTCATCAGATGATGCTACATGAATCATCCTGTGTCTGGGCTACTTCTCCTTGCGAAACTTCATATCCAGGTAGCTGAAGGGGCAAAACTCCTGGTACTCCATGCTTGTGAACGGGTGAGCATCAGCACCCGCGGCCATCAGGAAGACGTGAAAGGCTGCACGGACATCCAGGAAAGCTCCCGGAGTCTTCTGGCCGAAGATGGCAGCCACGAGCTTCTGCACCTGTGCGGCAGAGGCCAGTGAGTACGTGAACTTGCCTGTGTGGTGATGACGGTCCATTTTAAGCAGAGCAAAGCTGTCCACGGTTCCTGCAAGATCATCAACCACCTTGAACTTTCCACTCTCAGCATCGACTGCGTGAAGCCGAGCTTCAAGGTGGGCATGCTCCTCAAAGAAGCAACTGCGAGCCCGCGCATGATGCTCATGCTCGACTTGAACCATTTTGGCTTGGCCAACTGCACTGAAGATGCGGACCTTAAGACTGCAAGTGCGTGGCTCGATGCCACCATCCTTGACCACGTCCAGATGCTCAAGGAACAGCCCTCTGGCTGCAGCTGCTGCCTTGGCAGCTGCGAAGCCAGCAGCTTTCATTGCATTCACATAATCCTTCCGTAGGTTGTTCAACATCTTGAGCTGGAAGCGCGTACGCCGAGCACTGTGAGCCTCCGCTTCCTTTCTCAAGTTGTACCATGCCCTCCACTCTTCTTCAAGAACCAAGGGGTCCCAGTACCCTGTCTCTTCCGTGACGTCCAAACCGAATTCCTCAACCGCCTTTCTGGCATAGCAGTCTGCCGGAAGATCGCAGAATCTCATGCTCCCGCGTTCATCCCGTTTCTTCTGCAAATCTGCAACAGCCTGGCGCTTCCGTTCCACTGCCGCATGAGTCTTCCGCAGCTGAGCAAGGTAGGACTGCAGCTCCTCAAAGCACATCTTTCCCTCGCTGTCCCTGCCAAGCATGCCTGTGTCGTCCCAATGGCCAGGAAAGTGGAGATTGATTTTTGTGGTGTTGGGCAAAATGCCCACGAGTTCATAACCAAGCGATGCAGCTGATGACTCCTCGGCTCCTGTCTCTGGCGAAGATTGGGCCTCTGCCTGGCTCGGGTCCACTTCAGTATACACAATCTCTCCATCCTTGGTCTCGGACGTCTGCGCAAAGGCACGCAAAGGATTCTTGAAGGTGATGGTCAGCATGTTCCGCCCCTCATCCGGGACTACATCCTGAATCTCCAACGCTGTGCCGGCAAGCTCTGCCCTTGATTGCATGCTGTCTAGTCCTGGAACAACCCAAACTGGCTCTTCCTCAGGCTCACCATCGGAGAAGCTCAAGGGATCCAACATCTCAGTATGCTTTCGCTTCTTCTTGACATGTTCCTTGCCAACAATCTTTTGGTAGTCTGTCCTAGTGATGGTGATTCCAACCACTCCTGACAGCTTCCGTACGACGAACCCAATGTTGGTATGAAAACGCCTTGTCTCCATCGTCTTGGTGTCCTTTGCGTCAAGAAGCTTTTGCAAAGCAGAGGGTACCATGCTGGATTTGGAACTGTGACCTCCGGGGAGGTGTCCTCCCCTGCAGTTAAAGCAGGGTGTAGCACTCCACCTGCCTGATCCGGAATTCAGCTCGATCCTCGAAATAATCCTCCGGCTGATCATGGAAGCATGTCCCCAGAGCGCCCTGGCCCATTTTTACAACGGGTCCGTAGAAGCCGTCTTCATCGAACAGAAGACGCATGGCCGGGCTGACAAAAGCAACTATTCGTAAACAGATGCTAATCACTCCAAATCCGCTGCGAGGTCAAGACCTTGAACCTTGAACTCCGCGGTGCGAGCCAAATATGCGGGGTCCATGGATTTTGCATCCATGGTCTTCTGTGATTTAAATGCCCTTGATGCAATTCAGGACATCTTGAGTACCTGATGATTGCCAAGTTCGCGCCTACCTGCTCGAACAACAAGGCCGCAGCTTTGCGCTCTTCTGTGCGGTTTATGAAATTTAACTGAGATTGCCTTGAGGTGTGTGGAAAGAGACGTTTCAGACACGCCAGGATGACAAGCGACATGCTGCTTGACTATGCTCACCACGCCCTCGCCTCTGCAAACGTGTCGTGTCGCCTGAGAGCACCTCCAGTCTTGGCACCATGAATAAACGTGATGCTTGAGAGCAAGTTCCAAGTTCAAAGTCTTACCATTGCTGTGATGCGTCAGAGCGGGAAAGCAACAAAGTGCTCCATTTGGTTTTGCTTACAAGCGCCTGTCGCTGGAGGTTTGCCGGGAGGTCAGTGGGCGTGAACGCCACCTCCTTTGCTTCGGAGTTCGCAACAAAAGCTGGATACGACAAGAGCAAGAATGATGAAAGAACAATGACAACTACTTCTCTACAACAATGCATAGCAATGAGGAGCTCCTCGAGCTAGAGCAACAGCAGAGCAGACGCGTGACAATGACAACAAATTCACACGGCGTCAGCAACATGAACGAAGCTGCCGCCAGCTGGCAAAACGACGACAAACATTAGCTTGAATCTTTGCTGAGTCAGTAGCAGTATGCTTCATGCTACTGAAGATGTTAACCTCCGCTCAGTAATACCTTGGCACAACTACAGCTTGACTCATGCAACATAAAAAATGAAAACACGACTGGCAATGGACAGCGAGAGCAATGAACATGCAGGAAAGTTTGCAAAGCAAGAGGTATTCTGCTTCTGCCGCTGCTGCACCCCCGTGTGTGTGCGCTTGCTGTCCTCTGCCATCATACCACAGATGATGAAGCCACCCTCCTGTCAAGGGTACACAGTGGTTCGACGTGGCCACAAGTAGGAACAGCCGGCATGTTAAGCGCATCTTCGTTTTCCAAGTGCTCAGTGGGGGAAAGAAGGAACGGAACCCTATAGTAGTCCCTATAAAACCCCCTATAACCGTCCCTATAACCCATCCTCTGCTGTCCCCACTGAGTACCAGGAAGTTTCTGTACTCATCGGAAAGCTCCCCGCCTGGCCAACTTCTTTGATCTGGCCCTGGAGCCGGGATCCCTCCGTCGGCTCACCTTGGGTGAGACTTGTTTAGGGTTTAGGGTTTAGGGTTTAGGGTGGCTTCAGGTTATGATGGGTTATGTTGGGATTATATTAGGGTTATATTGCTGTTATAAAGGCATAATGGACAAGAAAATGGCAAGTACTATAGTATATTGGGGTTATATTGGGATGATGGAAAAGAAAATGGAAACTACTATATGGGGTTTAGGGGAAGATTCGGTTTGGGGGACTATACAGAAATTGATATACTTCAGGCAACCCCAATTCTTGAAAACCCCCATTGGGATTTGAAGCCTATCGACTTTTTGCAAAATCATTGTGGTGCGCTAAGAGACTGGGATTAACTGGAGGCTGGAGCACCGGCTCAGCAAGACACCCTGATCAATCCCCTCTCCCTAAGAATGTGCATAACGAATATCCCAACAGTTTAGATCCATTCTATAGTAAGAGGACGTATTAATCATTGGGGGTGTGCTCATTATCAGGGAATGTGTGCTAAATGGATGCGCGAGCACCTCCTTGACCAACTTGTGGGCAGGAGTTCCGGTGTCTAAGCGGTGAGACGACTGATCAACAGCAGCCTAACCCTTTGGGCAGTCTCCTGCAGATCTACATCATTAGACTATTCTCATCTGGGAACGATATGCTGGGTTGGCCTTTCAATTGGAAACCCTAAACCCCAAAAAAGGGGTGGTAGAAATGCTTTTGAATCAAAAAGGGAAAGCCTTAAACCCTAAACCAACAAAAAAGGCCAGCCAAGCAGAGTTGGTAGTTTCCATAAATAGGGAGACCCCAAGAATGGAGAATCACTTGGAACAGGGTAAGAGTGTTTTTTTTGCTCCGCGTGTTGTTTTGTTCTGCGTGTTTTTTCTGTTTTTTTGTTCTGCGTGTTTTTTGTTTCTCTCTAGAAAACGATGCAACTAACGCGAAACATGCCCAGGCATGGTTTTTTGTTCTGCATGCGTTGTGGGATTTTGTGAGAAAAACCGAGACTTTCTAGAAAAGTGTACAACGCCCTGGCATGTGTTTTTTTTGCTCTGCGTGCGCTCCCCGCCCCCTTGTTCACTCACTCACTCGCTTACCCTTGGCTCCTTGGCGGAAATACCAATTTGAAGCAAAATCTTAGCTTTGTAAAGGTTTTATACAGGAGAACAGAAAACACGCAGAACAAAAAACAGAAAAAACATGCGGAACAACAAAAAACACTCGTTCCAGACATCAAGGTTTAGGGTATACATATGAAGAACAGGTTTAGGATTTAGGGTTTAGGATTTAGGGTTTAGGGATACATAGGAGTTATATAAGGATTTTTGGGTTTTAGGATTTCCAACTTAGGGGTACCATCTTGGGTGCCCCTATCATAAGGACTATAGTATTTTGGGGTCTATATTGGGGTCCCCATATTGTGCGAAAGTACCATATTGGGATATACCTTCTCATGCAAGTCTAAGATTATAGGAGTGAGATTGGGGGCGTTTGGAATTACAGAAAGTATGGGTTATGCAAGGGGAGTCTTTAAATAGTTAGAATAATGCTTTCTGAGATACATGCTACTGCACACATATGCATGCACCTTCAAAGGGAATAATATTGGCAACTAATCAATCTTCTACATTCTGCGGAGGTTTTGGAAACGTTCAGCGAGCCACAATGGCAGAATTAGGGCTCGCTTCAAAGAATGCTTGGTCGCTCACTTGACTTCATGACTACTGATGGCTGGGCTTACAACCAAATTCAAGCTTCTCAGTCTCCCAGCTGGCTGTGCGTAGGCTACCATGAACCAAAGCACCTGGCTTATGTTAGCTGTCTATGGAGTTCGTAAAATTGGCAGGCCACAGAAAATTCCGACAGTCATAAATGTTGACAGCTGAGGCTGCTAACTGTTGTGCACCTCGTGTATACTAGTGTGAATTTGCTGTTGTGTCGAGATTGCCTGCGGCATCTGCCTGAACATGTCTTAGGTGAGGAACCTCTGGTACCGGTGGATGGAGAAGTTGGCGATATCTGAAGATCAAAACTGCTAGGACCGGGATCTATAGGAATCAGGAAAGCTCAGGTTGGCTGGCTGTGAAATGTGGTGAACTTTGGGGTTGGGGACCCTTTTGCAAAGCGTGGCGACACATCTGACATAACATGCCGAGCTTTTTCAAGCCAGCTTGTTGCGGATTTGGAATCATGTTGAAAACATGGATTGAGACCAGGTGACCAGGTTCTAAAGTGTTCTAAGCAGGCCAACTTCGATTAATTAGGGGACTTCAAGCCCCCCGAAAACCCTAAACCCATAAAACCTACTCAGTCTTCAGAACCTTTAGGCATGAAGCCACGTGCAATTTCTGATATTCCTTGGGTACTTCCCCCTTACAGTAGCTAACACTTACCTAAGAACCCTTTGAGAACTGGGTTTCGGGTTTAGTGTTTAGGGTATATTCCAGGGTAATTCCCCTTACTGTAACTCACCTAAGAACCCTCTAAGGACAGTTACATTGGTAGTCCCCTTACACCTATCATGAAGATATCAGTTTTCTTTAATTCCTTGTGGTTGTACTATAGGAAATATGATCATTCCTAAGGAGACTACCGACTGTACGGAGGAACATCTCAAGATGTTCCTTGGGTTTAGGGCTCCCACCATGCTTCGGCCCTCGGGTGTTTGCCCCACCGGTGGGCCTTGCCCAGGCTATGGGATAAAGGCACAGGATTGAAGGGAAAAAGGCGGTTTAGGATTCAGGGTTTAGGTTTAGGGTTTAAGGGTTTCGGGTCAACTCAGGGGCCCAGACCCCACCCCACCAAAATGAGGTCCAAGATACCTCAGAAATGGAAAAACACATGGAAAAGCAGAGAAACAATGAAACTGAAGCTGGCTGAGCTATGTGAGGTGGGCCGAAGTCGTTATTCCAAGAGGATCCTAATGCTGGGGGACTGGGGGGGTACCAATCAGAACCATCTCATGAAGGTACTCCATTCCTTCCCTTGGCATAGACCCTTCCACCCCCTGATGAACATCCTTCCGATATAACGTCATTGCATAGTGGAGGAAAGTGTGTGTTTTTTCAGCCGGTTGTGAAGGAAATTCCAGAAGAGAGGGGATTCTAGGGCGCGAAGTGTGCGGTTGTAAAGTTGTCCTGCGGAAGCCTCAATAACCCAGCGTGGTTTGCGGGTCTCTTATGACCTTGAAAACTTGTATGTAATACACCCCCCAAAATCCTGTTCAAATGTACACAGGATCCCATCTGACAACCGTTCATAAGTGCAGCCCCATGCAGTTTTCCATTCTCTTCTCCAATGTGATTCTCCATTATCCAAGAAAATACATCCTCTACAGCACGATAACAAGACCTATAAGCCCTACACACCCTAAACCCTAAACCTTAAACCCTAAACCCTAAACCCAGAACCCTAAACCCCTAAACCCTAAACCCCTACACTCCTAAACCCATTTCTGCAGCAAGATCTTGCAATGG